GTGTCTGCAGTCGGGGTGTCTTTGCGCCACAGAGTGTGGGGTTAGGAGTCTTAGCTGCAGCGCCGGGGTGGCTGCTGCCATCAAACTCGACGCCCGTGTTTCCTGGCCCATCACGATTGTCTCCATATGAAGAACGTTGACGCTTGGCCCGCTCACTGTTGACAACCGGAGTAGCGACATTGCTATGATATGGTTAATATGTATGTCTTCTGTAAGATCCTAGCGGCTTTGGCATGGACAGCCCATTTTTGGCTGGAGGAATGAACTTGTACGGTCGGAAACATTATTCATTCCTAGTTTTTAGGACCACGAACATTTTTTATTCGGAATTCGGATATATTATTAAGAAAACACCGGTACAACTAGTGTATTGTAGAGAGACATACATAGCTTGGGGGTGGTAATTTTCTTATCTCGACACAGGGTGCTGGCCGCCTCCCTGCTGCGAGTAGTTGCTTGGTACATGCTGAAAACCGCACTCCTGGGCCATAGTGCAACCCGAGGTACCGTGCCGTCTCGTTGCCGGTCAGCGCCCCAACCCCACCCCACCTAACCGATACTCAGCTTCCATAAGCCGCTTTCGCTCACGTGTAGTGCCCCCAAAAGTGAAGGACCTCGCACTTGGCAGCATTCGCGGCCATACTCGCCGATTTCAACTAGTAAGCTTACACTTCATAATACATTCTTTATCAACACCGCGTATGGGACTCGAATCCACTACTACACGTCTATGAGTCTCGCGCTACATAGACTAAGCTTACCGGGCTCTAAGGAAGATTGATTATTGGAAAGTGCGGGGGGATCATAAACAACGCGCGCGCGAAGCTGATCCGGAGGATAGATAGGCTGATACGCCAGAAGTAGCGGTGTGGCAGGTGAACACCTCCCCAGCTCTCTTCCGTGCGGGTGCCTATCTGAGCGATCTGCTACCTCGCCTGATAGAGGAGGTCGTACAGAAGGTGGTGGACCCGGTGTTCCCTTCACCGCCGCCGCCGCCACCACCGCCACCATCTCAGCCAACGGGCAAGGCGGCCGCCGGAGAGCCGGAAGTAAAACTGTCGGCGGCGGAGGCGGCACCAAGGTCGCCATTGCTGGATGGCTTTGTACGAGTAGAGCTGGACGAGCAACTGGCTGCTGCCGCCGCCGCCGCCACTTACTCTCTGACGTCGGGTGGCAAGGCGGCGGGCAGGAGGGGGGGTGCCGGATCGCCGGCGGCGGCGGTGGTGGTGCTGGTGCCGGCAGTGGGGTTGAGCTTTACGGGCGGGGCGGCCATAATCCCCGAACCGCTCCCTCCAGCCCCGGGGCGCCCTTGGTTCGGGCACGCGGGCAGCAAGCTCATCACCGAGGCATGGCTGCGGTATGGAGTGGATATGCCAGCGTCCCGCAACACGGCCGTCTGGGCATTCCATGCGGAGCCTAACCCGTCCCACCACCTCCACAACTATCCCTCTATCCTCCCACACCTCGCCGACATGAGCCAGCACTTCGATGACCTCCTGGCTTCCGGCGTCACCGAGCAATATGACCCCAGCGAGCATGGCTCCGAGACCGACTTTGCTGCCGTCGTCAACCCCCTGCACGTCGTCCTCAAGCCTGATGGCTCCATCCGTCCCATAACCGACCCCTCTCGGTCTGGGGTCAACGAGTGCATGACCAAGCTCCCCTGCCCGCTCCGCGATCTCGCCACACTTCTCGAACAACTGCCAGCCAACGGCTTCCTGGGGAAGCGCGACCTGGCGAGCGGTTTCCACCACGTCAAGCTGGCGCCAGAGGCGCGCCGATTCATGGCCTTTCGGCACCCCTGCACCGGCACGCTGCAGTGCTGGGTCGCCCTTCCCTTCGGCGCCAGTCAAAGCCCAGCGATCTTCGTGGAGCTTACCGCCGTCGCCGCCAGCATTTTCAGCAAGAGTGCGACCGCCGGGGCCTGCAGGTGCGCATCTTCGTCTACGTGGATGACTTCATGATCATGGGTCACTCGCACGCGGACATCCAGGGTGCCTTTCAGGTCCTCGACGACATCGGCGCTGAGTTGGGCCTCGAGTGGAAGGCCAGCAAGGACCGGGGGCGCGACGCCCCCTTGCAGCAGCTGGAGTTCCTGGGTATGCTCTTCGACACCATCCGCATGGAGATGCGTATGGCCCCCGATTAACGGCAGCGATATGCCAGCGACGTCACCGCCATCCTAGAGGCGGCCGCCACAGGGCCCGTCCGCAGAGGAGACCTTCAGGCACTTGCCGGCCGCCTCACGTTTTTGGCGCGCGCGTGCAGATGGGGCTACACATTCCTTCAGGGCATGTACGACGCTCTCTGCACCCTTCAATACCCCCCACCGTCATCCGTCGCCCTTCCCGAGGGGGCACTTGACGACCTGCGCTTCTGGCAGAACGTGCTCCGCCCGGACTCCTCTGTCTGGGACGGTGTCAAGCATTGTGTTATGGCCAATCTGGACTTGGCGAGGGGGGAATTCTTGAGGGAGGAGGGCGCCACCATCTTCACAGATGCGAGTGGCGCGGGCTTCGGGGCGGCCTGGGACCGGGCCGAGGTGCAAGGCCACTGGTCCGAAGGGGAGCGGCGACTGCACATCGGTTGGCTGGAGCTCTCAGCGGTCCTGCGGGCGCTTCAGTCCTGGGCGCCACGGTTGGCGGGGCGCCAGGTGCTGGTCCGGTGCGACAACACCCAGGCGGTAGCGGCCATCAACCACGGTTCCACACGCATCCCAGACGGCCGGGCCATCAGCCGACAGCTGGCGCTGCTGGCGGTGCAGTATCAGTTCAGAGTGCGGGCGGAGCATATCGCCGGGGAGCTTAACGTCAGGGCGGACCGGCTCAGCCGCAATCTGGAGTTGGCCGCAGCCAGAATCTGCGCCTCAAACCTCGCACGTTCCGCTCCCTGGTCAGGTTCGGGCCGTATGCTCCCATGGTGGACTGTTGCTGCGACGTGCTGGGTATCAACGCACAGCCGGGCTGCACCACCTTCTTCAGCCCGGATAAGTCGGTGCTGGGTCAGGCAGCGACCCTCGCTGGCAACGTCCTGTGGGCCTTCCCACCCAAGGATTTGGTCGGGGAGGTGCTGCTCGAAATCTTGGCGGCTGCGAAGCTCAACCGGAGCACACGTGTGACTGTCGTCGTGCCAAACTGGCCAGAGTGCTCGTGGTTTCGACGCTTCGTCGTGGGCACCGGGCAAGGGGCAACCCCATTTGTGGTATCGACCGTCCTGCCCAAGGGCCGACGGCACTGCCTTTTCCCGTGGGTTGCCGAAGCCGCACCCAGCGAGTACGACTTGATTGTGCTCAGGCTCAACTAGATTCCCCCCGCACCCCGTTGGCCAGTGCTGGCAGGCTGTCACCGGGAGGAGGGAAGCTGCTCCGTCTGTGGGCGTTGCTGCGGAGCTGGGGATCTACGCTGTGAGGCCTGCCCCTGCTCGGCGCATCGTTGGTGCCTCGGAATCACCCCAGGAGCATACCCCGGCGGTTGGTACCGCTGCACCACTTGCTTGCTTGCGGCGGCGGGTATCGGAACAGTGGCCCATGGGAGTGTTCGGAGGAACTGGCACAGCTGACTGTGGCATTACACGGCAGCGCGGTTACAGACAGCTCATCCATCACCTACGAGTCAGGGTGGCGACACTTTGTACACTTCTGCACGGAGGTCGCAGGGGTGCCGGAGGCGGGCGCCCTGCCCCGCCAGCGTGGGTCTGACCTCAATCGGGACCTGGTCTGTCTGTTCATAGCGCATGCAGTTGGCCGGTACACGGCCTCCACCGTCATCGGCACGCTGAGCACCCTGGCGGACTGGCAGTGGTTCATGGGAGTCTCGCCAGAGGCATATATCAGCCGCGACCCGCTGGTCAAGCGAACCCTGGGCCAAGCGTTGCTGCGAGGCTGGAGTCGGCATCGACCAAGACGAAGGCACCCCTGCCCCTGGGGGTGCTGAAGCTGCTCGTGGCGTAGCTACGGTGCAGGGCAAATGCGGAGCCGCGGAGGGCAATGGAGTTCACCCAGGACGCCTGCTGGCTGGTCTTGGGTTTTTTCAAGATGCTCTGGAGGAGCGAGTTGGCGGCCCTGAAGGTGGGCTGCGTTGAGGAGTTGCCGGGAGGGGGTGTGGGGTTGCAGATCGTACGTAGCAAGACAGACCAGAAGGGCATGGGGGCGTTGGTGTGCCTTGCAGCGCTCACCCAGAGCGGCATCCCCATCGCTCGCATAGTGCAGCGGCACCTGGAGTGCGTGAGAACGGCCTGAGTTCACTCCCCACTCTTCGTACGGGGAATCACTTGGCCGGGCAAGCGGGGCTCGGCTTGGCGGCGCGGGGATTTCACTGACAGGCTGCATGCATTGCTGGGAGAATTGCAGGGATACGAGCCGGAGCTGAGGCTAGATCTCGCTAGGATATCGGCCCACAGCTTGCGCAAGGACGGGACCCCGCGGCTGCCAATGCTGGGGTGGGTCTTGAGGAGATTAAGGCGCACGGGCGGTGGAGGTCCGATGCGGTGCTGGTCTAAATTCACCGGTCCGTAGCTGTGAGGCGGACAGTGGTGGAGCGAATGTGACGCGACTGGGTGGGTGGGGGAATGTTTCGCTGGGTTAGGCGTGGGGCCAAAGTAACCCAAGCGAGGCCGTCGGCTGCCTACTGGTTACCAATGCGGAAGAGCACAGTAGCCCGGAAGGGCCGCACGAAGTAGCATGCGCGCTCTGGCAGGCAGGCTGGGCGTCTTTTCTCCCCAACCATATGTCCACGTCCCCGGTGCCTTGTTCTTGTTAGTCGTACTGTAACGAACGCGTTTGGGTTTCTCGTCCCGGTGTCTTGGTCTGGCTAGCTGCTCAGCCCGGATTTAAAGAAGTACTTTAACTTCGGTTATATGACCTCTCATCCTTTAGCAGACGTTTCCAGATTATCTTGTCAGTTGGGCGATTCCTTGGGGGTCTGCCAGCCGAACCCAGGGGTGCCCCGACCCGAATCGGGCTCCAGCACGCTTGTCACGAACACAAATCCCAACACATGCACGCAAATACCACCAAAGCCAGCAATAATAAACTGACTTCTGGACCCTTGAGTACATCGCCTGGACACTGGGAAATAGAGAGGATCAGGGCCCAACGCACAGCCACACCACCAGAACTCCAAACCACCCGCTCACTCCTGCACCTCTAGCCCTCCAATCAGCTTCATCATAACCTCATCATCATGCACACCGCGTTCCACTTAGCTTTGGCGCTTTTCAGTGCCTCACAATAGGCCGCCGCATCCAGCTCGCTCTTGCCATACGTGTAAGTATCCTTCTTTGTTGTTTGATTAGACGGCCCGGCACCGGAGTCGGTCATTTTTGGGGGACTAAACGAGTCAAGGCTGTCGTTTCGCTTTAAATGTGTGTTGG